GCTTTAAACCCTAAACCCTAAACGCTAAACTCTACTGTTGGGGTGGTTTCTGACCTTGTCGTGGCCGTGCCGAGATCTGTAGGCTACAAGGTGCTGCAATTCCTTTGCTGCTCTCCCGCCGAGAGGTACATACACCCCAGAGTCTGCCGCTCCATCTGCTGCCACCTCCGCTGCGATCGCGGCTTCTTCTGCAGCCGCAGCAGCAACTGCGGCTGCTTCTGCTTCTTTTAAAGCTACAATGTCTTCGGCAGACTCATGAACCGCTGCTGCTGCTGCTGTTGCCTGAGCCTGCGTCGTTTTCGGCTGGTGCAGCAGCAGCAGCTGCTGCTGCTTCTGCTGTTCTTCCTCTTGCTTGCGGCGTCTGCTAAGCAGTATACGCTGCTGCTCCGCTCGTTGCTGCTGTAGCTCTATGGAGAGCTCCTCCTTTGCCGCAGCATACGGGGCCTCAATCATGGCATGCTTCAGCAGCAGTTGCAACAGCATCCCCCCCACAGCCAAGCGCCTCCTGGAGGACCACCTCGGCAGCAGCACGGGCACTGCTGCTGCTGTTCCACTGTTGCTGCGGTGCTGCCGTTTGTGCTGTTGCTTGCGCAGCGGCAGATAGCACTGGCCTAGCTGCTGTTGCTGCTGCTGTCGCTCCAGGAATGCTGCTGCTACCTCGGTATGCACTGCGTCCCCAATAGCCATTGCTACTTGAGTTACGAGCGCTTGGCGTTGCTGCAGCTGGGGACCACCGGAGATCGAAGCATCAGCAGCTGCTGCTACTCCTCCCGCCGAATTAGCAACAGCAGTCAAGCCCTCCCTCCCTCTGCTGGCGGGCCCCGTAGGAGCAGTGGCCCGCGGCAGCAGCACCTGCTGCAGCACCGTGCGTGCAGTGATGACAGCTAGCAATTCAGGCTCGAGTTGCTGCGGTAGGCAGGCCACATTGCTGTCTAAGTCAGCGGCNTGATGACAGCTAGCAATTCAGGCTCGAGTTGCTGCGGTAGGCAGGCCACATTGCTGTCTAAGTCAGCGGCGGCAGCTGCTGCTGCTGTTGCTGCTTTAGTGGAAGCTGCGGCATCTGCGTCGTCTGAAGGAGCAACCGCCGCTGCTATTGCTGCAGCAACTCCCCGCTGCGTCTCCTGCAGCTTCGCTATCGGCTTAGCCATATCGTGCACCCAAGGGACCCACAGTCTCTTGGCAGGACCCGAGTCCCCTCCCCTTCCTGTTGCTGCTAGCTGCTGCAGCTGTTGCTGCACCTCTGCCGTCAGGCGTCTCCATATGCAGCCCTCTATTATGACCTGTCTCCTCCGCAGAAGACTCACAGCCTCTTCTGTAGACGAACGAGATGGCAACAGCTCCTCGTGCTGCTGCTCCTGTTGTTGTTGCTGTTGTTGCTGCTGCTGCTGCTGTGGAAGGTTCGAGGGCAAATCTTGCTGCGTCCACCGCAGGGGAATCGGGTACGGGTTCGCGCCGTATGCAGCTTCCTTTTGATGCTGCAGCCACTCCGTATTCAGCAGCAGCGGCCGCTGCTGCTGTTGTTGCTGCTGTTCCTCCTCCTGCTGATGCTGCTGCTGCTCTCCAGGCAGCTGCG